ACAAATTTTTTAACTAGTTCCCTACTGATGAACATTTGAGTTGTTTCCAGTGTTTTGCTATTACAAGTAAAGCTGCAATGAATATACTTATACATAAGTCACTTTACGTAAGTATATAATTGAAAGGTAAATTTCTGTAAGTGCAGTTCCCAGGTAATTTATAATTTTGATAGATATTGCCAAATTACCCCTTTCAGAGGTTGTACCAGCTAAACCCTAGTTCAGTGCAGCTCCTCACTGTTCTGTGATAGTAAATGAGATAATCTGTGTAAATCCCAGTGTCTGGCACAGAAAACATGCTTGATAAATGGTGATTATTATGATTAACAACATAGATAAAAACCTCACCACTAACAATTACTTCAGTTTTATCAAATTTTACGTTCTTTTAAAATACAATTAATTCTGAAGATACTTAAATCAAAATAAGTGTAGGTTAACATTTATTATATTAATTTTCTGGAATCTTTAGGCATCAGAGGTAGAGAAAAATTATAAAAACAAATTCAGCCAGAGATATCAGTAATGCAAAGTTCATTTTGAATTCTAGGTTTTAAAATAGTAATATGTTTCCTAAAATATTTAGATAAAAAAATATTTGGTCCACAATGGCAGATAGACATACTGCTAAAAAGGAGGAAAGTTTAATGGGAACTTAAGGAGCAGCTAAATTTCCTATATTGTGGATCCCTCCAATGTCACAAAATTCCAACCAGAACCATTACCATCAAAAGCAGCCAGGAAGACTAGTCAAAAGGTAGGATGTCCTGATTCCCCAAACCCACTTTTATTGCTTTGAGTGTCCAACAGCTGGCATAAATATTATAACGTCAACATTTTTACAAAAATACTGATAGTCTTTCTTAAAACATTTAGAATCTGGGCCCTCACTGGTGGCGCAAGTGGGTTAGAGCACAGCACTGAGAGGCTAAAGCCACTTTCGCATGAGTTCGATTCCTGCCATGCCCCGGAGGAGATCCACATGGCGTGGCAGACCTCTCCTGACCCGCCCGCTGCTCCCCTCAGCAGTGTACTTTGTCGATCTGCTCCCCTCTCTGTCTCTGGTGAATCCTCTCACCCTCCACATCTATGGCCTGTACCCCAGTTCCATATGAATAAATAAATAAATCTTTAAAAAAACATTTAGAATCTAACACATATTCTTTGCACTTATCATATTTTGAGAATGTCTCATTTTGAGACATGATCAAAATGATGATGATCACGATGATGAGTAATTAGGTTAGGTGGTCCATTAAAAGTCCTACATATCGGGGCCCTCCCTGGTGGCGCAGCGGGTTAAAGCACAGCACTAAGAAGCTTAAGCCCATTCTGCATGAGTTCCATCCCCACCTGCCCCTGAGGTGACCACATGGCTGTCAGACCTCTCCTGATCCGCCCGCTGCTCCCCTCAGCAATGTACTTAGTCGATCTGCCTGTTCTGCTCCCCACTCTGTCTCTGGTGAATCCTCTCACCCTCTGCATCTCTGTCCTGTACCCCAGTTCTGTACGAATAAATAAATAAATCTTCAAAAAAAAAAAGTCCTACATATCCTTGAGTAATATGCTAACACATTTGTTTTAAAAATCACAAATATTCTTATGATCCACCCTGTAACAGTCCTTATTCCTCAACTTGACTTCCTTCTAGGTTTCTCACTTCCTTTTCAGAATTTGAAAATTGAAAAACATCCAGCTTCAGTTGCAGAGCTTGCACATCCATATTTACTGATCTGAGAAGACTATTCTTGTAAAGGAAAGTCCCTTTTGTTCTTTTGAGACCATTCTTTCTCCCTTACCCTCTCTTCCTAAGATCTTTAAATTGGACAATACAATTTTGACTCTTCTTGGCATAATACTAAAAGAAATTATCAGGTGAGAGGGAATGATTATTTTTTAATTATTTTTTATATTATAATAGTTTATTTTTACATCATTTTGTGCTTTTTTCCATCTCAGTTGTAATCCCTGTTGACCTCCCATCACCAATTCACCCATGTGCCATCACCATATTCCCATGCCTTCCCACCTCCCATTTTTTATCCCACTCCCCACTCTACCCCCATAAAATATCTCTGGTATATAGTTGTTCATTATTATTGTTGTTATTTTTCTTCCTGGTCCTTTATGCTCCTGCTATGAGTGTAACCATCCAATATTTTTCTTAAAAAAATTCTTTTAGTATTTTTCATCATTCAGGATTCAAAAGCATATTGTCTAAACACAGAAGTTATAAACAAAAGAAACAGGAAGCTAGTTTTAAATTTTTCAAGTAATTGTCTCCACTGACAGGTTAACATGGGAGAGGTTTCACAAGACATGTAGAAAACAACAACAACAAAAAAAAATGGGCATGCTGCTATACTGAGGAACAAAATAAATAAGAATATTTTATTAAATTAATGCAGGTGAAAGCAGTGATAATCAAATGTAGCGTTAGATATCATTTCTGTCTATATCATTTACAATGAAACAGAAGATGAAGGGTAAAGTGCTTTACAAATCTAATGCCACAAAACATTAAGATTTAGGAATTAAATATATAGACTGTATATTTTGCGCAGCTAGAATTTTCCTTGTACACTTCACTTCCCTCACATAAACAGGGATACTGCCACACAAACAAAGGACACTGTACAAAAAAACACATAAAAAATATATAACAGATGGCTTCTGTAGAGGATTCTGTTCTTCAGCCTTATTTCCTTGTCTTCCATCCAGATAAATGATCAAGAGGGAAGAACAACGCTGGAACCTCCTAAGAGGGCCTCTGAAACTCAAAATCTTTGAGAAGCAACATCTTAAGATACTTGTGTAGTGATGAGAGCTAGTGAGACACAAAGGTTCAACCTTGGGCCTTTCTTTTTGCCACAGATGAAAAGTCTAGGGTCAAGGCATGCTAATGAGATTTCTAAAAACAGCATCAAAGTCAAGTTTATACTTACTAGAAAACAGAACAAAAATAAGTTCAGGCATGATTCTGTCATATAGAGTTAATAATAAGATCATTCTTCAGGACCAGATAGACGTACTATACCCCATAGAGCTCCTGGGTCTCATTTTGAGAAACACAAAATTAACCAAATCTAAATACAGCAAGAGAGCAAGAACTTAATAAATCCTAATTGTCTAAATGTAAATGGAGTACATACATAGCAGGTACTAAGTCTTATAAAAGATCCTAAGAGGTTATGGGAAAGATGATCTAGAAACAAATAAGACATATGCCTAACTTCTGGGAATTTGTCTTTGCCATTACATAAAAATAATATATTAAATAAAAATGGAAAAGTACATATATATTTAAAAAAATCCTTTAGGAGAATGCAAAAAAAAAAAAAGCATGTCATTAATCTGAAAAGGGAAACTGGATGGTGAATCATGGAAAATATGAATTCAAAATGAATAGCATTTAAATAACAGAAAGAAGTGCTACACGTGCCAAAGACTTCATAAACAAAAACTCACATGCAAAGGCAAATAAATCTGGGATAAAATATTGCAAAAAGGATTCGAGAGTAGTCATTTTCTAGTTTTATAATTACTGACTTTACAGTAAAATGGTTTAATTAGTAACATGTTTAATATTTCTGACTGCCCAGAAACACACTGGCTGTCCAACCAGAGTATCCTCTCCTTTTGGCAGCATTTTTAGACTTTCCACCTTACAACATCATTCTCCTCTACCACCTTATGCTGTGACACTGCATAAAATTGTAATAATAAAATTTCTTACCTATCTTCCATTATACCACAAACTTCTTAAGGTAAAGTGTTTTATCCTGCTCACATCTGTAGATTAACTGCCTGGCACAGTAATTGACATGCAAAGATACTTCCTAATTGTTTGCTGAATTAATGAATTTCTTAAAGTAAAGAATAGCCATTAACTGTATTCTAAAAGTACAGTGGGAGACATTCATGAAAATCTGAGGTCTGCTATTTACTGACTTTGGGCAGGCTACGTTATCTGCCTATTCCTTCAGCTGCAAAAGGGGTATAAAAATAGTGCTTACCACAACAAAATCGTTACAGGGCTTAAATGAGATTATACATATATGCTACCAGTAGTTGAAGCATAGTCTGCGAACAAAATTATTGAAGCACTTGAGATCTGATTAAAATCATTCAAGTCAACTAAAGTATCAATGAGTTAAATAAGGTAATATCCTATATAAACCAAAGGCTTGTTTCTGCTTCCTATGTACTAGTTACAGAGGACACCAAACACCTTATAAATACCATATCCTTTACCAAACACACCCATCCTTAAGTTTAAGCTAGTAGCAAAATTTTAACTTTTACTTCAAAAGAAAGCATTCACAAACACACAAGACTCCCCAGACACAAAATAAATAGAAATAGCTTATACCACTCACACTTAAATACCGTTGTAACACTGAGAACTCTCAATCACACAGAACACAAACCAAAACAGAGTGAAGACAAAGGGCACTTCTTCGGGAATTGGCCATTAAATCAGGGAATCTCAACCTGTTTTCCTAGGATGAGCAGTGGATTTGCATGGAGGTTCATTAGTCAGAAGTGTCCTATCTCCTTTTCATGTGCTCTGAGGAGTCTCCCATTCATTTTGAAGTCCCAAGGTTTCCTTTAGGCAACCTCTTCTACTCCTTTTTCCCTTGTTTACTTCTTTTCCAGGTTCCATCTTCAGAGTTTGGGCCTTTTAAGTTCTATAACATCTTCAGTTTGCTGCCCACCATATTGCTCTGATCATGCTTAGCCCTGATAAACTCCAACCACAGGCTGAGAATCCCTACATTAAGATCCAAAGTGTCAGAGCTGGATTACGTCTTCTCAATGTGTGTATCTGTAAAGTGATAAAATTGTATTAATTTCATGAAGGAGGAGATTTGGGAGAAAAGTAACAAAGACCTAATGAAAAATATAGCAATTTACTAGATGCTATAATAAATTTGCAATAAGAGAAAGGCTAGAGAAACTTATGCCCAATTACCTTTATATGATAAAGAGTGACAAACTCTGCTGTTTTGTCCAGGACTGTCCTCATTTAAAGACTGAGTCTCATGTCCTGGGAAAATCAGGATGGTTGGGCACCCTATGATAATCTAAACAACATTCGCTAATTAGCTTTACAACACAAATGAGCATTCTGGATCACATAATGAAACCTGTCTGAACTTGTCCAAGCTAAAGACTCCTTGTGAAGTTTATTTTCTCATTATATTAAAAAAGTAGAAGACTTAATATAGTTTTATCTTTAAACAGCTAAGTGAGATCTTTCTGATCTTTTTATAAGTGTGAACATTTGTAGCAAAATGAGTTTGAGTGGATAGATTAAAAGTAAAGTTCTATGGTCAAGCCAATAGGCTCTGAAATCTGATTTTTGTTATGTGTTTTTGGACAACTTACATTATTTCCTTTTCCCATACTATAAAATGTGATAATACTAGTATTTATCTCTTACTTGGGGGAGAGGGAGTAAGAATTAAATTACATACTTGCCTCATGCGCAAGTTTTATCTGTCTGTCCATCCGTCCATCTATCCACCCACCCACCCATATATAACCTACTTATCATCCATCCATGTGAGTTAACTTGATACTCCATTGCTAGGGAATGTTAGGCTAGAGAGCAACAGAATTAGCAGAGAAGCTGCTTCCTCCCCCTGCTGTTCACCCTCTAGTCTCCTGTCATTCCTAAACCTCCTCAGATTATGGGAAGAGTTATTAAAGTATAGTTATAAGGCAAAGAGAAGCCTGCAGTTTCAATAACCAATATTCTTCATTAGTTTAACATTTTGTTTCATTTTTCCTTCAATTTCCCAATTCCTGCTGATATCTATAGCATTTTGTTTGAGTTTATATGTTAGCTGTTATTTCCACATCCATCGTTATTTCCATAGACTTAAAATTCTGCATCCCATAGTTTGACTCAAGCTTTAATTCGAGCTTCCTCTGAAGCATTTTTAATCCCCTAGGAAGCCTGGTAGACATCTTTATTCCATGGTTTATTCCAACAGATCTATTTCAGTAATTTAGAGCACATGAATTTGCTCCTAGATTTTCTTTAGGAATATAGACTTTCACCCCCCCCATCTTTCCTTTAGAGATGGACTGTATTTATATTCTGCAGTGCTTTATTATAATCATTTTCTAGTGATTCTTAATACCAAAGAATTGCTTTTCATAATGAAATGCTAAAATGCAAGTTGGCAACAGTCACTGCCTTGGATAAATCAACTCTACTGAATCTTGATCCTATGGTCTGGTTAACTGCCTCACTTGTGTTAAATACTTACTCTTCAGAAACAGCTAATCTCCATTCCTCCCTCAATCACACTACCATCCCAGATCCACCTACCCTCGTAAGGGGATATAGGGAACTTCTCAACAACTATTGGAATTCCCTTCCATTTTCTACTTCCCTATTTGATAGCAACTAACGTTATACACAGATCACCATTACATCCCCTTGATATTTCCTCTAAGTGCTAGGGACATGCTTATTCTTACTCTCACCTTAATATGGGAGGAAATTACTTTTTTAGGCATATTTCCTGGATTTTAATTGATCCCATGAGTAAACAGATAAAAACATACAAATTACTTCACAAACTATATTACACCCTCAGACAGAAACTGCAGAACCCTGTATGATAAAAGTATCATATCTCTCTAGAAGGAGCATTTTTATTACTTAGAATGCCCCCAAACCAACTCAATATAACAGCACAAAAAATTACAAGACAAACTCAACTGAAACTGACAGGCATTTTACTCTTTTCTCTCCTCTAAGTCTGTGTTTTTTGCATAATGGAAAGAAACTGGGTGACTGTGGGTCTTCTTCAACCTCCATACATGCTCATTGTCCCACCCCTCACTCCTGTACTAGTGATCTTAATCCGGCAACATTGCTCAGCTTCACGTAATCACTATTGAATTATGGGATTCCTTTGTGTCACCTTGCAAAGGCAAGTCAGGTTTCCCTCCAGCCGTGACCTAATGCTCACACCATAGGAAATACGACAAAGTTTAGCCGTCACCATCCAATGATCAGTAGGACTGGAGGAAGAGGGGCCACACAGGTTTACCTGGTGGTACACTTAAAACCTAGTTTGCATGAAAGTTGGTTCTGAAAAGGAAGACTAGTAGAAAAGCAGCATTTTTATAAGTTAATATTTCTTAGTAGGGGCACTACTAGCACTGGGATAGGACAATTTCTTGTAACATAGGACTTGCATACTATGTATAGCATCTCTGGCTGTGCCCAGTGCCACTGTGACAACAATACCATTCCCATATGTTTCCCCACATCCCCAGTGGACACCATCACATTAAAAAAAAATACCGTTTTTTTTAAGACAGATGATGATACTCATGGCTACCAGGAACAAAAGCACAGATCCCAGAATTGGCAATCGAAGCCTCTCATTTTTCAAAGTCTTAGGGGGTTCTGGAAAGCAAAATAAACAAAAGAAACCAACTAAAGATAAAATTTTGATAGGAAGGAGGCAAGAAAATAATCATTTTTGAAGTTTAATGAAGGTTAACATGAGGTTGATTTCCTTAAATATGAAGTTTTTGGCCAGTGAGTGTCTGGAATGGTAAGCTATACGAAAGTGGGAAACACAGAAAAAAAAAAAAGTAATGTGGGCTTTGAACAGAGCACCCAGGGTTAAATTTTGCTGCTATTCCCTAGCTTTGAGGTCCCTGGCAAGACCTTTAACTAGCCTACAAAACAGAAAAGATGATAAATATATTGTAAAACTAATTTTTGTAATGTGCTTAGCATAACATCACAATAATAAATGGCTGACTTGATTCTTCTTCCTTTTCTTACATCCTTTAATATAAAAGCTAGCCCCCTATTTTTCAAGCAGAGATGGAATGGTCAACTGTATTGCCGATGAGTTTCTCCCTCTCCATATCTTCAGTCATGACTGGAGACCAATGTTTGCTGTCTTTCCTTTCTTCACAGTTTGAATATCTTGGGGCATCTAATTATTAGTACCTCTATTAAGTATCTCTGCAATCCCACAAAAGAAGAAAAGGGGTACCATGCTCAGAGATAGCTAAGTCCAATCTCCTGTCATTAGTCAAGATCCCTGACTACCTAGTTCAAGCCACAACAGTAGTCAGCCCTTGTCTAGTACCTTAAAGAGCCTCTTCATATCTACATTATTTACATCTCAAAATAACTATCAGTTAGGTATGCCATGCATTTAAAGAAAAATCTGTAGGTCACAGATGTGGAAACTGACTTCAAGCAGCTAGGTGAGTAATCCTAGGTATTAGAAATAAGTTGTCACAAGACAGCTTTTAATCAACAGGAATCTGCTAATGTAGTTCTTATCAGAGTAATCTTATTTCAGTAAGAGTATTTTCAGTAAGAAAATTTAAAACAGTTCTTTAAATTTTCTAAGCTTTTTTTCTTAATTAAAAAAACAATTATATTTTATGTAAAATTGGGTTGTAGGCCAGAGATACTGGAGTGAAAGGATTCACCAGAGAAACAGGAGGGAGCAGAACAGGTGTATTTACTGAAATACACTGCTGAGGGGAGTAGTGGGCAAGACAGGAGAGGTTTGTTGTGCCACATGTGGGTTCTTTGATCCCAGGCCGTAGTGATAGTGCTGAGACGTAATCCCTAGGCCTTCAGGGAGGCCCTTACTGTTCATAAGACCATCTGGATTTTTTTTTCATTGTTCAACTCTTCTACCCAATTTTTAGTTATTTTCTCTGAAAATTTTATTATCAGAGTAGGTAGGGATCATGAGAAACTTCTCAAAATACCTCTTGGTTTTTTATACTAACCATCATGCTAACCTACCTTATATCCTCTAAAGGTCTGAATATCTAGTCAAACTCTGTGTCCTATCTCACCTACTTCTGTGGGGGTGGAGAGATGAAAAATATTTGAATCTGTGTAGGTTAAGAGTTTCAAATTATTTTCACACAACCATAGCTCATCTGTCTCTGTGATAAGCTTATACAACATTGGGAAAGTGAAGCGCTTAGAAGTTGAGTAGTTTGCCTAGGGTCACACAGTCTTAGCAGACTACCTTAGTTTGAAATGCCATAGATTATCTTGGAAGCAGATGAGGAAGAAGGATTATTCTTGTTTAGATTAAGACAGAAAAATGAAATCCTAGAAAGAGCGCTCTGGTGAGTTTAAATTTGGATTCCTAAAATATGTCCTTACTTGAATTTTACTCTAAGCTGCTTCCCTGGACCTCCCCAGCCACAAGCCACTTTCCTAAATGGAATGAAATACCTATTTTCTTATAAGTTTGTCTTATTCTTTGGAGAATATACCTTATTGTTCTAGCAACTTAACTGCCTGGAAGGTAGGGCATATTAAATATTTGCCCCATGTTTATTAAATAGCAATGTGATGAATGAATGGGGGTGAGGAAGCAGAATACATATTGTAAAAAATAGTGTTATGTGTTTCATTTATTTAACAAATAATGAATGTTGACAATGAACAGGCATCATGCTAGAAAACAGCACTAGGCACATTTTAACTGAGACATTCATAATATTACCTGGGATGACCAACTCAGCTGTACTGTTTTCCTTCTGGTCTGTTCTTTGAAAGGTGCAGTAGAAAATCTCATTAACTGTTGTGTTGACTCTCAAAATGCTGGTCACATTGAGAAGATTCTCCTCCCTCTCAGAATTGGTAATGACAGTTTTGCCACTCAGAACTTGGTGATCACTGTTTGTCCAGATGACTTCAGCCTTAGGATACCCCTCAGCTTGGCATGTTAGTTCATGTTCAGAAGTGACTGGATCCACAGAAATTCTTTGGTTGATAATGTGATATGGAGCTGAGTCAGGAGCAAAAAGAAGTAAGGGCTTTTACTTACCACTGAATGAGACACATGGCTTGGCATTGTGTATATCAGAAAGAGTATCAATTCACTCTGGTTCTCAGAGAAATAAGCTTACTGCTCATATGTCTGAGCAGTTAGGAACCTATTCATATTGGACCAAGTTTGGGTTCAAAGGACAATAATGTTACTATACAAATCATATTGCTATTTTTATTACATTTAAAGTAAATTTATAGATTAATTAAAATAGAATTGTCATCTTAAACCACTAGTTTATATATTCTATCCAAGTGTAAAATATGTCTGTCCATTTACTCAAGTCTTTATATGTTGGTAAAGTTACATAACTTTCAACTCATTTGCTCCTATATATATTCTTTTTGTTGTGGTAAAGTGGTCTTCATAAACATGAACTCTAGCTGATCAATACTGTTTTCATAGACTTTATTTAATAAACAGACAAAAATCTGATTTTGATGTGCAATTTACTTTTTCACTTTTAGGTCAATGATCAAAAATTACGAAAACATGTTATGCCATTGCATAACACATATTTCTGGATTTTAAAGTTTAAATACATTTTTTTCCTTTTGGAATATTTATAACTTTATAGGAAAAAAATGGGGAAAATGCACAGAGATCCAGCAGAGCTGTCACCAGTTTTCCCTTTTGTTAATGTCCTATTTTACCAGAGCACATTTGTTAAAACTAAGGAACAAACATTATTACATTCCTATTAACTAAATTTCACTTTTGTTCCATTTCACTTTTGTTCCATTTCGTATGTTCCAGGATCTCATCACATTATACCATGTTATGATACGTATGTTTTCAAACTTTTAAAATGATGGTTAGTTAATAAATCAGTTACATAATAATCATACTCAAGAGTAAAACTTTGCTTAAATTTTAGATCATTGGCTTATCACCTTTTTAGGATTAAAATTCCCATTGTATCATCTATTCTATTATTGACATATTATTCTGTTGGAATAATTTTAATTTTACTCCTAATACTTCAAAGTAATCATCAGAAGTACACCTAGAACCTAACTCTCCATTTACTTGCAAAAGATGTAACAATGGCTTTGTGAAAGGACTTATTCAGAGACAATACAGAACAACTAGAATCAAACCAAACTGATAGAATGATGATTTAGTCTTTCTGTGCTCTTAAATAAGTGAAAACATCAGTGGATACAATGAAAGTGAACTTTATGACAATTTTAAAACACATAAATAATGGTTCTCACTAGTACTTAAGACCTCAACCTCATTTCTATTAAGGATCATTTTTTAAAAAAAGATTCCACTGACTTATGTTTTCCGCAGAAGAACTGGGATATAGGCAGAAGTGTGGGGAGCGTGGGGGGCAGAGAATGAGAGCAGATTCATCAGAGGAAGAGTGGGAAGTAGAACAGGTGAAATTACTGAAATACGCTGTGAAGAGGAGCAGTTGGCTAGACAGGAGAGCTCTGACTGCACTATAAATAGGTCAGTTCCCTGATGGGGATCTAACTCAGGTCATAGTGGTGATAGCATTGAAACTTAACCCATAGGCTACTAGGGAGGCCAAGAATCTGCTCATTATATGCATGAAACAAATTACTATAACAAATTATTTCACATAGCATATAGCTGGATTTCTAGCAGCCAAAATACTTAAGCCTAAAATCAGTTCATGGCACAGTACTTGAAATAAAATAAAAAAGAGTGTTTCTTACCTCATCAAATATATCAATGTGGTATACCTTCACTAAATGGGCCCAATAAATCATTGTATTCATTCAACTCATTGATTAAATGTCTATTACATCAGTCTCTAACATGGGTCACATACATTTGAAAATATTAGAACTTCTATTTATAGGTATTTGTAACACAACAGTTAAGATATAATTTAAGTTTATTAAACAAACTTCACTGATTGAGACTGAGCTTCACTCTGAGTGCCACATGAGGGTCTTGAAGGAAGAGAAGTTTCAAAGGGAGCTCCATGTCTCACTTTAGATTTAAAAAATTTGAGATTATCATTATTTAATTTTAACTAAACTAAACTTACGAAAAGAACAATTAAAAATTTCCCACAAAGAGCAAAAGAGACATTACAAAAAACAGACAGCCCACTAATCGGGAAAACATTTTCTCACACAAAAGTAGTGATAAAGGACTGATCACAAAAATATACGGAGAACTGATGAAACTCAACAAAAATAAACAATCCCATCAAAAAATGGGCAGAAGAGCTAAAAAGGCACTTCTCCAAAGAGGAAATGCAGATGACCAGCAAGCATATGAAAAAATGTTGAACATCACTCGTAATAAGGGAGATGCAAATTAAAACCACAATGAGAATGGCACATCTTCAAACAACTAGCAACAACAAATGTTGGCGAGGATGTGGAGAAAAAGGAACTCTCCTGCACTGCTGGTGGAATGCAAACTAGTACAACCACTATGGAAAACTGTTTGGAGGTTCCTCAAACTGCTAAACATGGAGCTTCCCTACAACCCAGCAATCCTACTTCTAGGTATCTACCCCAAAGACACAAAAACACTGATTGAAATGGATACCTGCACCCCCATGTTTATTGCTGCTTTATTTACAATTGGAAAAACATGGAAGCAGCCCAAATGCCCAAAAGTAGATGACTGGATTAAAAAGATGTGGTACATATATACAATGGAGTATTACTCAGCAACCAAAAAAGAGAAACACATGTTTTTTGCAGCAATTTGGATGGAGCTGGAAAAGATCATGCTTAGTGAGATAAGCCAGAAAGAGAAAGAAAAATACCAGATGGTTTCACTCATAGCAGGAGTATTATGGACCAGGCAAGAAAATAACAAGAATAATGAACAGCCATAAACCAGACACATTTTGTGGGGGTGGAGTGGGGAATGGGATCAAAAACGGGGGGGTGGGGGTGGGGAGGGAAGTGCACAGGATTATGGTGATGGCACACGGGTGACTTAGTGGTGGGAAACCTGTGGGGATTACAATTGGGATGGAAAAAAAATTATTACAAAATGATGTAAAAATAAACTGTTATAAAAAAAAGTTATTTAAAATAATGGTAAAAAAATGTTATCTTAGTGAAAATTATTTATACCAATATGTACCAGATTTCCATTTTCAGGCTTCAAAAAAGCAGTCTGGCAAAAAATGTTAACTTCTCAAAAATATTTTCAACACTTAACCAACAAATGTTAATTAAAAAAAAAATTTCCCACAAAGAAACTGAGGATTGAAGATAATACAATGCAAGCCACACACCAAACCAAGCCACATAAATCAAAGGAAATGGGAGAACTTAAAAACTCATAAAAAACAACTACACAATTGGACATGATATGATGTTGGTTAAAAAACAAGTTAATGATTTCAATGAATGTAATTTTTAATTATGGTTTGAAAAAACTAATGATAGTAACACATAATTGGTAAGACTGCATTTCATTTAAAATTTCTGTTTGTGTACATTCATAGAATGGATGGTTTATTATGTTAAAAATCATGAAATCAGTGACATTCAATTTCTTTTGCCTTTCAAAATTATGAATATCTTATGATACAATCTATATATGAGCACGATTATATTCTTTATAACTTCTCACATCTACATATAAACGTGAATATTATTTTAACTTGCTTTACTGATGGAATGGGTAATCAAAATTGTTTTCAGACTCCTGGTTTTCTGTATTTAGTTCACTGAGCTAATGCTCGTCAGTCAAACTCACAGTGATTCTGAAGTGAATATATAATCCAATACAAACCCCAGAAGTAGAAGTTTAATCAACAAACATGTATGTGAACAACAAAGACTTTAGAACCAGATTGCCTGAGTTTAGAACCTGGCATTTAAAAGATGAGTAAACTCAGGGAAATTATTTAATTTCTTTGGAACTTGGTTTCCCCATCCATCAAAGTACATATCCTTGAATTTAATATCCCATCTATTAAAAAACATATTGCAATTTCAGTTATTAATAAATGCATTTTAGGTATGATGATGCCCTGATTCCATAAAGCCATTTGAGGATTAAATTAGCAAAGCTAGGCAAAGTGCTTAGTAAGTTGTATATATAATAAGTTGTAACACTACATAAGTGTTAGTCACTTTTTATTACTAGAGCTTCTCATTCTCTTCCTGTTACTGCTACTACTTACGTGTACTTCTGTGTTATTCTTTAGAAAGTAATGACAATTTGTAATGAATGTTCTTAGAGATAAATTTGCACTTTTCTGCTCATGTTTCAAAAATTTAAGCTTATCTTATTTAAGAAAATATTTCATTCATTCATTCAACAATTATTTTCTGTGTGCTCCTGTCATACCATTACTCTACTATATGCCAAGCCCTACAGTAATGAATAAAAGAGAGCAAATTCCTGCTCTGTTGTAGACTATTCTAGAAGAAGGAAAAAACAACAAACAAAATTGTCATGCTTATATGTTAAATGATAGATTAGGTAGGGATAAATGTTATAACAAAAACAAACAGGACTAGCTGGTGAATGTGGAGGAAAGATGGATTGGTGTGAAATGACAGCAGTTAGTCCTTGATGCATATGAACAGATTAGCTTTTTCAGGATAACAATATTTTGTTCTTTCAGTTGCTTCATCCCATTTAGGGTCTTGAAAGTATATAGGGACATTTTATTTTTCCTGCTACGAGGTTCAAAGCTTAAGGAAAAATAGCATTTTCTGTTGAAATTTAGATATCTGAGTCTTTAATTAACAAACATAAAAGGTGTTAACACCCAAAATGATAATATTGAGTTAATCCAAAACTAAACTTAATTTTCAGTTTGAAAATACTTCATTTTTAAAATCCCATGGTGAGTAAACTCCCTTGGGGAAGCTGTATTACCATATGGTTTGCAGTGATGGGAAGAGAAGACTAACAGTGAAATTGTTTGCATATGGTTGTAATTCACAATTCTACTTCTTTGAGTTGTAAAGTCTATACAAATCACTCAACCACCTTACCTTAGTAACAGTGCCCCTCAGTGTATCTGAAGCTTGGTAAAGGGCTAATAATAGGGCACCTCAATCCAGCACCCAAGACTAGTGTATTTAAGTAATAAAATAGATTGTGATTAGAATGTCAATTTCATAATTTATAACACAAAATAGAATGGACACAAACCTGGTTGGTCATCTGCTCTACTTTGTCAGGAACCTCATTGTCTCTAGTGTTTCCGATTGTGTTGAACCATAACAAAGGAAAACAGATCCACAAGGCACTGACCTGGATCAGTGACCTGGGAAAAGTGCCTTTCTTCACTACAGGGGCAGCTGTCCCACTGTCTGTATACTCCCTTAGAGGATAATGAGAGATCTATTCTGGAAACAGAAATTTCTACATTTCTTATACCTGCTTTATGCTCTTTCCCTCTGTGGCAGGTCTAGCAATACTGGCTGTTCTTAGGTCTAAGGCTTTAACATTTATTTCTTAATGTCTCGAAACAAAATAGATGCCAATACTTGCTGATGGACTAAAAAGATGAAAATCCCAACATGGGACCCCACCACATTTCAAGCTTGCTTTCATGAATAAAACTGTCTGGAGAAGCTCATGGCAATATATAATTAAAATACAATTATTTCTTAAGACAAGTCATATTGTCTTGACAACAGTGGCATCAATTAAGCAAGCAATCAGTTTCAGTAATGTACCATAAAGTATGTGCATTTTCCCTAATTCCTGAATTATTTTGATTTTCAGTTTATGATGTTCAGATACCCCTTTGATAAATGTTGATGTTTTTCTCTGCCTATCTTATGAACCTTCATTTTATTTATTGACTCTAATAGTATTTAGGCCAGCAATGAAAAGAGCAATGATGATGCTTTAATTTTAGTTGCATATTATGTAAACAAAAAGAGTAGGTAGAGAAATTCAACTTTATGTCAGCAGTAACTCCAACTGACTGAGGGCAGCGGTGGGTGGGGGACACCGTGGGAAATATATAAGCAGAAGATGCTTTGGGGGATTTCTATGCTTTGGGAGTTTGGATTAGCTGTCATTATGTGGGATCCTTTCAGCTCTCAATTCTACGAATCTTAACAGTGAAAGTAGAGGTGGTCAGCTAAGGTGTTTTCCTTTATTTAGCTAATAACAACCAGCCCAAAACTTTGAACCCAGTTGACTTGATGACACATTTGTAGGTTAACACACAGGAATTGACATTCACAGTTCCTCTTCAATGCTCCAAGATTACATTGGTACTGATTTTCAAGATGAATATATGCTCAGTGAGTATAGCCTATACCATCTCTGAGGAAAAATAGTTTTCCCTATACTTGATATGGTTTTTTTTTGCCTTCAGAGACTAATTTCAAGTTATGTTTAATGTGAACTTTACAATGGATTTTTATTTTAATAAACTTATTTGGGTTTGACACAGGTGCAAAGGAAGGAAAATAATGGAAGAATGCAAAGGAAGGAAAATAATGGAAGAACTAATAAAATTTAAAAAATAGTATTGAGTAAAAAATAGAGAGGAACACAAATGATTATTTTTGCATACCATGAAAGATGGTGTTGAAGGGAGGAGGGGCACTTTTTCATTTGATTTTATTCCCTCTCATAGTATCTGAATTGTTTACAAGGATATACAGTACTTTTTTAATAATAAAGAATAAAGATTAGGAATTAATTTTTAGGGAAACTGAACATACTATGGACTTTACAACTCTGTCATGCTTGGTTCTAGTTCTTCAGGGACTGTCAGCTAGAAAGATCTCAAGAAATGTTCATTTGATGAGTATGTGAATTAATGAGTAAGTTGGCTGCCACAGTCCTGTTAGAAAATAATACTGAACTTTCAAGAATTAAAAGTTCTCAATACTTACGGTTTTAATAAAGGTTGGGCATCTTTATATATAGTAATTCTTACCATAGACTGTCAAAATAATCCGTTTGTAGTCGGCACCTCCATAGCTGATCAAACAGCAATAAGTTCCTGCATCCTGCAATTTCACATCTGTGATTTGAAGTGTAGCCTTTCCCAAGAAGAGCTGGTCCTTCAATAGCCAGGCCCTCTGCCTGTAGCTACTGTGTTGAACAGTCAGATCTTCTTTCCCATTCACAAGTTCAATAATTTTCTTTTCTCCCTTTTCCCAGGAGACAAATAGTGACAACATGTTTAATTGCTTTTCCACTGGGAATATACACTCCATGGTCACATTGCTGCCATGCTCTACCACATACATGTCCTTGGTGACTTGGACAGTAAATGCTAAAAGGAAATATAACCAATCTTCAGAAAATAGAAAATTCCTCAAAAAATTATAGAACAAGTGCAGTTTATAAACACTTTATCCAGTCACTTATGTAATAATTACATGTAAGAACTTCCCTAAACTTAATTTTTATCCATTGGGCTTGAAATATATTTTAAGACAATATATTTCATCCCTGAGTTAGAATAATAACATTAGCTCAACAAGTTATTCCCATATCTATAAACATACATTATTGTAGACATAGTATATGGTGATGGGCTACTTTATAGTCAAGGAGATTTTATATCATGTTGTCATTCTCAGAATGTCCTCTGACTGACAAATGAATAGTAGATTTCAATAATCTTCTCTTTCTATTGTCCTAACGCTTGATCAGTTATCTGGTCAGAGGTATATGATTATGGAGACTTATGGAGGGTCTCGGACTGACTTTAGTACAGTGTTACCCTGACATGACATTTTAATTATATATTCTAAGTCTTTGTGTATATTCATCCTGAAAAGCAGTTAACAGAATAATGGAAGTAGAACAATTCTGCCCTTGTTTAAAACAAACAGAAGTACACACATAGACAATTCTCCAGATATTGTTAGTAATTAACCATGGAAAATGGATAAATAATGGGTTAATTTGTTTCTTTCAGTTTGTATTTCCCATATGCTTTGTCTAATGGCATGGATTATGAAATAGGTTTATAAAACTTAAAAGGAAAAATAGAATTTCTTCCATAAAAAATTACATTCATTACAAATTATTACTTCAATTTTTAACTTATGGTTAAGATATTAAAATACAGAAGCTATTGAAAGATTTTGGTGGCTTACCATTCAGCAAATGACAGTAGGCTATGAATGTAAAGGCACTAAATATTCTCATCTTTCTGGAATGACCTAATTATAAAAATACAAGCAGAAAACCAATTTACACAATAACCAAATACTCAAGACTTGGCAATTCTAACTGAAATAGTCTTCTAATAACCAGTCAATGTGAAAATGCAGCAGAGAATTTAGAAATGTAATACCTTCACTTTTTAGCCCAGAGGCATAAAAAATATGTCTTTGGGATATTTAAAAGTCAAATTTTAAAAAAGTATTGTATCATGAAGATTTTGTAAATATAATAACAAGCTCTGGAAAAGACATGTAATATATACTAAGAAGAGAAGAAAATATTGTACCAAACTCTTCTCAATTATGTCATGTTTTTTTTTTTCTACAATATAACATATTTAGAGATTTGAACCTTCTCTATGCAATGCTTCACAGCAAGGAGAATCTGACTTCCAACCTTATCCCATTCAGTGTATTTTCCTTCTAGTACTTGAATTCTTTCATTGTACTCTCTATTCAATCCTTCCACATTGCTATCACAACCATGCCAGTTCTCCCCAAGATGCAATCCTTTAAAAATCTCCTTTCTGCCCTTCACTTATATTCCAAATTGTAGTCCCATTTCTTCAATAACTTGATTCTACTAGAAGAAGCAAGGGGAGTAAGGAAAAATTATTGGATTCAACCAATTCATACTAAGGTGTAAATAAATTGTAGCCACTCTTTTGGGGGTATCTGCCTACATTCTATTCTTCATTTTATTTTATTAATTTTAAATATTATTTATTTATATTTTACAAATTGTTCATTTTTGTACAATGTTTGCTTACTTTATTCAGATGTATTCCCCATAGAATTCTCAAAACCAATTCACCTGTGCACCATCACCAGAGTCCCTTGTGCCTCTCCTATTCTTGTTTTGATCCCTCTCCCGCCCCTGTAGAGTGTCTCTGATATAGCTGTCTGCTAATTTTGCTCTGTTTTGGTTATTACTGTTGTTATTATTACCCTGATCCCTTATTTAGTTCCCCTACAATCCTCCGATAAGTGAATCCATCTGATATTTTTTTTTCCTTCTGTGTCATTTCACTGAGTACAATGCCTTCTGGCTCCATCCATCTTGCTGTGAATGCCATGAATTTATCTTTTTTGATTGACAAATAGTATGCTATTGTATATAAATAACACACTTTCTTAATCTAATCATCTATTATTGGGCATTTGGCTTGTTTCCAAATCTTGTATAAATAGCGTTGCAATAAAATTCTGCAGGTAACCTTCAGAATTAATGTTTTTGCATTCTTTGGTCTGACCCCAAGGAGTGGAATTGCTGTGTCATATGGTAGCTCCATTTTTAGTAGTCTGAGGAATCTTTACACAGCTTTCCATAGTGGTTAGACTGTTCTTCATTTTATTATCCTGTTTGATATTCTACCAGGCCTTTCATTTAGCATATATAAATTTAACTTCCTCTATGTTGAGTATGGTTTTAGACACTAGAAATACGCAGTGAACAGTAAAGAAAAACTATTTTCTGCAGCTTTTATCCAAATAGGAGATTAAAATGATTTGTACTGTATTCAGTCAATCTGTATATTGAACAAATTTTCTTTCTTAAGTTATATATTTACATACTGAAAAGAAAGTAAGGTACCCCTTTAGGGTCTCTTGAACTTTTGTATATATACAAAGAACTCATACTTGATCAATTAGCCAATGCTACACATATATAATGCAGAAGATTAAGGCTCCTAAATAAATAGCTCTTAAAATTACTAAAACATTGCATATAATTCAATAGGCATTTAAACAAAACATTCTAACTTATAATTCAGAGAAAAAGAAATGCAAACAACATCTAAACATAGAAAAGGATGCTTAGTGATCAATTAACAGTATAAATTTAAGACACAAAATACCATTTTCACATTAATAAGTGATCAAAAGATTTATTGTAGTTATAAATCCAATTATAGAGATTCTTCTAGTGTTTTTTTAGGATATAAAAAATATTTTTTTTCTCATTCACTAATGGTAGGAATGTGAAGTTATATAACCTTTTTTTTTTTTTGAGGGAAAATTTATTAAAAATTTAAATGTATGGCCCTCCCTGGTGGCGCAGCGGGTTAAAGCGCAGCACTAAGAATCGAAAGCCGCTTCTGCATGAGTTCGATCCCTGCCTGCCCCGGAGGTGACCACATGGCGTGGCAGACCTCTCCTGACCCGCCCGCTTCTCTCCTCAGCAGTGTACTTCGTTGATCTGCCTGTTCTGTCCCCCACCCTGTCTCTGGTGAATCCTCTCACTGCCCCTGCAACTCTGGCCTGTACCCCAGTTCTGTATGAATAAATAAATAAATCTTTAAAAAAAAATCTATTCCAGAGAAATTCATAAAAAAAAAAATTTAAATGTATTTGTCTTATGACCGAAGTCTACTTCATCTCTTAGAACTACATCCTACAAAAACAGAAAAACAGAAATATATACATATAACAGTATGTGAAAGGGATGGCACTGCTAATAATAGCCCCCAAATGGAAATACCTAAATAGCTTCAGTGGTAAAATAAATTTTGATATATTCATACTATGTAAGACCATTAAGGGTAGAATTATATATATGATCATGCATTGATTTTACAAAGATGAAGACTGTAAGTTCCAGAATAGCATATGTGTCTATCATCCACACTCGTTAAAAAAAAAAAAAGAGGGAAAAAAAAGATGTGTATGTTTATGTGCTTATACATTGGAAATAACCAGAAAAATCCATACAAAGATACTGATTTTGATTATCTCTGTGAAATTAGAATTAGGATAGGCAGTTTTTAAACTGTTCTAGTTTTTTATAGTAAGAAAGAAAAGAAAAAAAAAAGGAAAGATGAGGTGGTAGTTGGTTTCTTCTTGGTTTTCTGTATCTAGATTTGTAAGTAAATGGATATGTTTTAATTTTATGACCAGAAGAAAATTTAAAAACCCAAAATTTAATGAGCCATTTCACCTAGACAAGCTGCAGGATACTTGACAGGCAGAGCAGCATACCAAAAAGAACCCCAGAACTACAAACATCCGAGCTCTGGTAAAATAATGTCATTTGTTTATTTTAATGTTTTTCTTCACTGTTGAAGTAATACAGCCATATTGCTATATAAGGGGAAAAAAAGGGGGGGGGGGTAGGAATGAACCTCCCACTACTTTATCATTTTAACTCAAGTAATGCCTGGAAACATTTTCATTGTCAAAATGAGATGGGGGAGATTGCTACTATCTAGTGCTAAAGGCCAGGCACTTTGCTAAACATCCTACAATGCACAAGATAGCTCCACAGGAAAGATTTAGCTGGTCCAAAATGTTCATATCCCTATAATGGTTTCATGTTCTATGGCTTTCTTTTAAGGTCAAACTCTTACGTGCTGACTTGCAAGTTCTGCCTACCCTCTTCCACTGAAAAAAGACTAATTTTTGCTTCAGAGTATCATTTAAAAAAAAAACAAAAAAACTACAGGCAGCCATCATTGAGAGTGACACCTTTCTGGAAGGCAATTATCAGTTTGTATCACTAAATCTTTAATATGTGCAAACTCTGATGAAGTAATTACAGTACTTAGTACTTAGTATAGGTACTTATGAGTTTATCTGAAGCAATGATGTTCAGTGAATGGCTAAGATTGAAGCACTGTAAATAAACTTTATGCCCAACATGGGGAATTAATTTGTTTAGTTATCCAACACAAGGGAATTAAATCATTTAAAAATACATTTTAGAAGACTAGTTCATAGAAAATCATCCACAGTATATATATTTTTTGATGTAAAAAACAAGGTGAAAAAATGGTACTTGGTAGTATTCCCTGTGTTAAAAGACAAATCCTAACTGAACTGTGACACAGGCCCAGGGCAATGAATCTAAGGGACATCTTAACATTCTTCTCAGTATTCCTTCAGCGTCTCAGAATACATGGAGCAAAGAACTTGATTAGGTGTTTTGGATTTTACACTGTGTTCACAGCACAGTGCTAGTGAGTGGCTGAGGGTGGGCTAGGACCTCCAGCCTAAGAGTTTCCTTCTGCACTACTTTAGGATCATCTTCATAAATATTCAGAAGTATGTATTTTCAAGACTGAGAGGAAGCAAAAAACGGTAAAGGGCCAAATGTATTGCACGTTCTTAATTGCTTTGACAGACAACTAGCTCCCAAATTATCTTGCATTCCCTTTCCTTCTCCTCTCTCCATCCTCAAAAAGCGGTAGAGAATCCTTAATTAAAGTAAGTGCGGCGGGAAGGAGACGGAGAAGGTCGTAGAGCCCGAAGACAGTGACCCCGGGGGAGAGGGGGTTGGGTCGAAGACTCCCTACCTGCAAGGCGAGAAGACTCGCGTCGGGTTAGAGTTCTTAGGTTGCAGCGCAGGGCACTGAAAGGATTACTCTCGGCGCTTTCCAAGCCTATCAGTCTCGGCCCCGCCTGCGTCCCCACATTGGGACTGTGCTTTCCCAATACTTGCAATTTGGGGAATCAGGGATTTCTTAATTCCTGAAATAATCACATGTAAATGAAACCAAAAGTAAAACTTACCCACCGTTTTCGTTTTCCAGTAAATCAGCTTTTCAAAGGAAAAATTTAAGGATTAAAACAAATCGACCAGTGCTTTAAAACAAAGGTTTAAAGCAAAGTAATGTTGAAATCATCACGTAGATTTTCAAATGCTGGGTTTACCTTCATAATCCAGGTACCTTAAATCCTGCCATCAGGTTTTCCTGCTTTCTGATAAAAGCCTTTACAAGAGGATGGAATAGCTTGACGTAACTTGATAGAAGCTCATCATATACAGAAAGTAAAATGACAGCCACATGGCTTTGGTTTCTGTTCTAGACCTACGTATAATAGGAGAAATTACGTGAATTTTTTTTAACTTCCTCATAGTTGCTCGACTTAATGAAACTTCACTTGCTTTGTCATTCAAAGGAAATTCCCTTGGCCTGTTACACCTTTTAAGGTTTTTCTGGATACCTGCTATCTTGCCTTTTTTTTTTTTTAAGATTTATTTATTTATGCATACATAATGGTACAGGCCAGATGTGGGGGTGGGAGGGTGAGAGAATTCACCAGAGGCAGAGTGGGGAGCAGAACAGGCAGATGTTTTGAGGTGTGCAGTGGACAGGTCAGAAGTCAACCAACCCATGTGGGTCACCTCCCTGGCTGAGAATGGAACTCATTCTGCAGTGGCTGTGGATAGTTTCGTGGTGCTGTTCTTTAACCCTTTGTGTCACCAGGGAGGGCCCTACCCTGCCATCTTTTAAATTCCAGTTGAAATAACTTATTGTAGGTGAGGGTTAAGAAAATCCTTTGGGAAAACTATTAGAAATAATGAAGCAACAGCGCCTTCCCTGGTGACACAATGGGTTAAAGCACAGCACTATGAAGCTATTTGCAGCTACTACAGCATGAGTTCCATCCCTGGCCAAGTAAGTGACCCACATGGTGTGGAGGACCTCTCCTGGCTCCGCCCCACCTGTTGCTCCCCTCAAGAGTGTGTTTCAGTCCATCTACCTGTTCTGCTCCTTGCTCTGTCTCTGGTGAATCTTCTCCCCCTCACACACCTCTGGCCTGTACCCCAGTTCTGTATGCATAAATAAATAAATATTTTTTAAAAGTTAGGAACATAGCTAAGTTGCAGTCTACACAATCAATATACAAAAGCAGTTGCAGTTCTCTACCCACACAATCACCATCACACAGAGAAAAAATAATCTCCTGTATAATTGCACCAAATAAATATCTAGGAATAAATTTAAGCAAGGAATACCTGTATACCAAAAACTAGGATACTACTGAAAGAAATTGAAGAAAATACAAAAAATAGGAAAGCTATCCAATATCCAGTGTCGTTTGCAACAACATGGGTGGCCCTAGAGGGTATTATTAGTGAAATGAGACAGATGGGAAAAAGACAATCACCTGATGACATCACTCATATGTTGTAGAAAAAACAACAAAACAACTGAATAAAGCTAAACAAAATAAACAGACTGCAAGAACAAACCAGAGGTTACCAGAAAGAAAGGGGAAAGTAGGGTAGTTAAATTGGGTAAAAGAGATCAATTGTATAGTGATGGATGGGACTTGGGTGATGAGCCAATGTAGTCTATACAGCTGTTGATATGTAGTCTATACACCTGAAACTTTATAATGTCCTAAACCATGTTACTTCAATTAAAAAAAAAAAACAAAAAAAAAAACAAAACTTGCTCTCAGGGAGAAAAACAGGAAGGTCCTCATAACAACAAACTAGTGCAAGCTAAAACCATATGCTTCCAAGGACTGTGACATAATTTATTTAAGCATTTCCTATTTTCTAGGTACTCCTTCCCTGTTTCTCTCTTTCCTGCATAATGATGAATATTGAGATGTCCCTTGGCCTGGTTATGACATTTGCTTTCCAAATAAAAATTTTCACTCTCAGAATATGCAAGTTTTTTCTAACTTTGAACACTACAGATCATACTGCCTTAAAAATCTGGTGGAGAGTGTGAAATTCTCTTTAGCCTCAATTAAATTGTAACAGACTTTGGAGGTTCAGTCAGGTGTCCCCCTTTTCAGATCTCTTTTCTGAGGATATGTAGTGGTATAGAGCAACCTTTTCCCAACTTTGGTGACCATAACCTATAGTTAACATTGATTTTACATGGTAATTCAGTATACACATAAGTATGTGTATATTGGTAAGTATACACAAGTTTCATGAAAGAATATTAGAATTACTGTGTATTATTCACTCAAATTTTTTAAAATAATATGTTTATTTTTACATCATTTTGTGCATTTTTCCATCTCAGGATTATACCCTATGGGCTTCCCATCACCAAATCACCCATATAACATCACCATAGTCCAAAGCATTTCCCTCCCCCCACTGTTTTTGATCCCATTCCCCCCTCCACCCCATAAAATGTCTCTGGTATATAACTGTTCATTATTACTATTTTCTCGCCTGGTCCGTTATACTCCTGCTATAAATGAAACCATCGGTATTTTTCCTTTCCTGTCTGGCTTATTTACTAAGCATGATGTTTTCCAGCTCCACCCATGTTGCTGCAAAAGGCATATGTTTATTTTTTTTGCTTCCTGTCACTCAAATTATTTTATGTAGTGTTTTACTTTACTAAAAATGATGGTAAAGACCCAGAACACAGATTTTATGATCTGTTAGTGTGGTCATGACTATTGAGTAGGAAAAAATATATACCTCTAGAGCTATCTACCACTAACTAGCTGTGTTATCTTAGGCAAATAATTTACTGAGTAGCCAGAATTAAGTAAGAGCATCTAAGATGGTCTCTAGGACTTATGAGTGATTTTTAAAATTAGTGTTAAAGTATTTAATTTTCTGTTTTACTAATGCAATGTTAGGATCATTAGAAAAGGCAGATAAATGGAATTTTTCTTTCTCTGAAGTGGTTGATGGGAATGGACTTGCTAACCAATAATTTACATATTAGTAATCTGAGTATTTGTGATTTTGCTCACCTCACCCACCTGTTTTCATCCTTTATTCATTCATTTTCCCATATAAGCATTTTTTTTAAGATTTATTTAATTATGCATACAAGAACAGGGATACAGGCCAGACGTGCAGCACGTAGGGTCAGTTTGAGAGGATTCACCACAGAAAGAGTGGCAAAGAGTGGCGTGCAGATCAAGCAGATGCACTGGAAAAAAAAAAAAAACTGCTGAGGGGAGCAGCAGGCAGGTCAGGAGAGGTCTCCTACAACATGTGGTTTACTTCCCTGGCCTGGGATTGAACTTGTGCTGCAGTAGCTGTGGATTACTTCATAGTGCTGCACTATAACCTACTGTGACACCAGGAGGGCCCCCTATAAAAGTTTCTGATAGCCTCTCCAAGTAGAAAAACAGATGTACTTCTTAGAAAAGAGACATTTTCTCGCTTCAAAAAATATTTTAAAATCGAAACAGCCAGCGCATATTAATCCTGTGCATACTGACTGATTCAAATGTACACTGAAGTTTTGAAAATTGATAGCATGATTTTAAAAGATTTATTTTATTTACTTATGCATATAAGAACTTGGATATAGGCCAGAGGTGTGAAGGATGGGGGTGAGAGGATTCACCAGACAGTGTGAGGAGCAGAATGGAGTGTATCTACTGAAATACACTGCTGAGAGGAGCAGCTGGTAAGGCAGAAGAATTCTGCTTTTCTTGTGGGTCAGTACCCTGGCCTGGGCAGGAACTTACAATCTTACTGTAGTGGCTGGTGATAGTTTGATAGCACTGAGACTTAACCCCTGTGCCACCAGGGTGACCTTGATAACATGATGTTTAAAGAAAAGGTTGAATGAAGTAATCTTTGCAAGGGTAGTTTTAACTCCCTCTCCTCCAACTAATTTGGATATTTGGTATCAAGTCCCTCCCATGCTCTCTATCTGCTAATTACACTTCCACTTTTGCCCCCCAAATAAGAGATAATCCTTGTTTGTTCTGATCTCAGAAGCAAGATAGATTATAGGGTCTTACAGCTGGACCTGAAGTGATGCTACAATTTCCTGGTGATGGAGCAATTTTCCATAAACGTCCTTATTTGGCAAAACTAGGATATAATAAGAAATATAAAAATTGACAAACCTCTTTGCTTCTACTGAATATTTAAACATGAATTGTATTATTATATATGAAGACAAAATCCAGATTTGTCCCCACATTTTTTTTTTGATTCTACAGGATTTAAACCTTGCTCTATGTTATGCCCATTTTTTTCTGTGCCTATCTGCCAACTCCTGCCTTTCATTACCTCCACCTTTACCATATACTCCTACCTCCATAGATTTATGCAAAACAGACTTCATGGAACAGGAAACTTTCTTCTGATTATGCAATATACCTATTCAAATTATAGGAGTAATTAATGTGTGTGGATAGCCAAGGGGTAGCACTTGACATCCACTCTCAGATGCTTCTTTCATACTGTTTGTCTTCTTTCCTGTCTTGACTGGAAAAGAGCTCTCCAGGTGAAGAGCTCTGGATTGGAAAGGACTCCTATGCTGTGAGTATTTTAAAATAAAAATGAGACCTTCAACAATTTCCTGTTACAAGACTTTCACTTTTGATATCCAGGGGAAGTTTTTCTAAGAGATGATATTTGAGAAATTATGAACACAACTATGAAAAGATCTGCAAGAAAAGCATTTCTGGTAGATGGATCAAAGATGTAAAGCCATTAGGAAGGAATAGATGTGACTGTGTCTGAACCGTAGAGTGAAGTGAGGGTTGCTGGATTACATCATACATGAAAGGCCTTCAAGAACAAAAGAAGATTAGATTCTAATTGCAGTGGAAAGTCACTGCATGGTTTGAAGCAGGGGAGTTACCTGATGAGTGTCCTAAAAATACCAATAGTGT